GGTTCAAAACTTTCAATAGTTCTCGGGCGGGCTGCCTTCTTAAACTTCTGAAACTTTTGAAACTATTGAAACTGTTGAAACTATTGAAACCCAGCCCACCCTCATCCCGTACCTTTTGAAACTTTTAAAACTTTTGAAACTATTGAAACCCTGCCCTCCCTGTGTTGAAAGTCTAAATAGTTTCAATAGTTTCAAAAGTTTTGAAAGGTACGGGATGAGGGTGGGCCGGGTTTCAACAGTTTCAATAGTTCTCGGGCGGGCTGCCTTTTGCAACTTCTAAAACTTTTGAAACTATTGAAACTTTTGAAACTATTGAAACTATTGAAACCCCGCCCTCCCTCTTTTGAAAGTTTTAATAGTTTCAATAGTTTCAAAAGTTTTGAAAGGTACGGGATGAGGGTGGGCCGGGTTTCAACACTTTCAATAGTTCTCGGGCGGGCTGCCTTTTGAAACTTCTAAAACTTTTGAAACTATTCAATCTATTGAAACCTTGCCCTCCCTCTTTTGAAAGTTTTAATAGTTTCAATAGTTTCAAAAGTATTGAAAGGTACGGGATGAGGGTGGGCCCGGTTTCACAACTTTCAATAGTTCTCGGGCGGGCTGCCTTTTGAAACTTCTAAAACTTTTGAAACTATTGAAACTTTTGAAACTATGGAAACTATTGAAACCCAGCCCACCCTCATCCCGTACCTTTTGAAACTTTTAAAACTTTTGAACTATTGAAACTTTTGAAACTATTGAAACTATTGAATCCCAGCCCACCCTCATCCCGTACCTTTTGAAACTTTTAAAACTTTTGAAACTATTGAAACTTTTGAAACTATTGAAACCCTGCCCTCTCTCTTTTGAAAGTTTTAATAGTTTCAATAGTTTCAAAAGTTTTGAAAGGTACGGGATGAGGGTGGGCCCGGTTTCAAAACTTTCAATAGTTCTCGGGCGGGCTGCCTTTCGAAACTTCTAAAACTATTGAAACTTTTGAAACTATGGAAACTATTGAAACCCAGCCCACCCTCATCCCGTACCTTTTGAAACTTTTGAAACTATTGAAACTCTTGAAAATATTGAAACCCTGCCCTCCCTCTCTTTTGAAAGTTTTAATAGTTTCAATAGTTTCAATAGTTTTGAAAGGTACGGGATGAGGGTGGGCCCGGGTTCAAAACTTTCAATAGTTCTCGGGCGGGCTGCCTTCTTAAACTTCTGAAACTTTTGAAACTATTGAAACTTTTGAAACTATTGAAACCCAGCCCACCCTCATCCCGTACCTTTTGAAACTTTTAAAACCTTTGAAACTATTGAAACTATTGAAACCCTGCCCTCCCTCTTTTGAAAGTTTTAATAGTTTCAATAGTTTCAAAAGTTTTGAAAGGTACGGGATGAGGGTGGGCCGGGTTTCAACACTTTCAATAGTTCTCGGGCGGGCTGCCTTTTGAAACTTCTAAAACTTTTGAAACTATTGAAACTTTTGAAACTATTGAAACCCCGCCCTCCCTCTTTTGAAATTTTTAATATTAGTTTCAATAGTTTCAAGAGTTTTGAAAGGTACGGGATGAGGGTGGGCCGGGTTTCAACACTTTCAATAGTTCTCGGGCGGGCTGCCTTTTGAAACTTCTAAAGCTTTTGAAACAAACTATTGAAACCTTGCCCTCCCTCTCTTGAAAGTTTTAATAGTTTCAATAGTTTCAAAAGTATTGAAAGGTACGGGATGAGGGTGGGCCCGGTTTCAAAACTTTCAATAGTTCTCGGGCGGGCTGCCTTTTGAAACTTCTAAAACCTTTGAAACTATTGAAACTTTTGAAAATATGGAAACTATTGAAACCCAGCCCACCCTCATCCCGTACCTTTTGAAACTTTTAAAACTATTGAAACTATTGAACCCCAGCCCACCCTCATCCCGTACCTTTTGAAATTTTAAGACTTTTGAAACTATTGAAACTATTGAAACTTTTGAAACTATTGAAACCCTGCCCTCTCTCTTTTGAAAGTTTTAATAGTTTCAATAGTTTCAAAAGTTTTGAAAGGTACGGGACGAGGGTGGGCCCGGTTTCACACCTTTCAATAGTTCTCGGGCGGGCTGCCTTTTGAAACTTCTAAAACTTTTGAAACTTTTGAAACTATTGAAACCCAGCCCACCCTCATCCCGTACCTTTTGAAACTTTTAAAACTATTGAAACTATTGAAACTTTTGAAACTATTGAAACTATTGAATCCCAGCCCACCCTCATCCCGTACAGTTTGAAACTTTTAAAACTTTTGAAACTATTGAAACTTTTGAAACTATTGAAACACGGCCCTCTCTCTTTTGAAAGTTTTAATAGTTTCAAAAGTATTGAAAGGTACAGGATGAGGGTGGGCCCGGTTTCAAAACTTTCAATAGTTCTCGGGCGGGCTGCCTTTCGAAACTTCTAAAACTATTGAAACTTTTGAAACTATGGAAACTATTGAAACCCAGCCCACCCTCATCCCGTACCTTTTGAAACTTTTGAAACTATTGAAACTTTTGAAACCTTGCCCTCCCTCTTTTGAAAGTTTCAATAGTTTCAAAAGTTTTGAAAGGTACGGGACGAGGGTGGGCCCGGGTTCAAAACTTTCAATAGTTCTCGGGCGGGCTGCCTTCTTAAACTTCTGAAACTTTTGAAACTATTGACACCCGGCCCACTCCATCCCGTACCTTTTGAAACTTTTAAAACTATTGAAACGTTTGAAACTATTCCCTCCCTCTTTTGAAAGTCTTAATAGTTTCAATAGTTTCAAAAGTTTTGAAAGGTACGGGACGAGGGTTGGCCCGGGTTCAAAACTTTCAATAGTTCTCGGGCGGGCTGCCTTCTTAAACTTCTGAAACTTTTGAAGCTATTGAAACTTTTGAAACTATTGAAACCCGGCCCACCCTCATCCCGTACCTTTTGAAACTTTTGAAACTATTGAAACTATTGAAACCCTGCCCTCCCTCTTTTGAAAGTTTTAATAGAACCAATAGTTCTCGGGCGGGCTGCCTTTTGAAACTTCTTGAAACTATTGAAACCCTGCCCTCCCTCTTTTGAAAGTTTTAATACTGTAGTTTCAATAGTTTCAAAAGTTTTGCAAGGTACGGGATGAGGGTGGGCAGGGTTTCAAAACTTTCAATAGTTCTCGGGTTGAGGCCGAAGTTTCAAAACTTTTGAAACTATTGAAACTTCTGAAACTATTGAAACCTTGCCCTCAAGAAAGAGAAGCGTCACATAATACATAAAGTTTTCTCTTACATATATATATATATACATACACATACATACATATATATATATATGGTCACGCCCCCCCCCATGATCCATACCATGGTTTTTCTGCCTCCTGCTGCTCATGCTTCGATTTCTACATGACTTCACCTACATACAAAATCATTGGCATTTGCGGTATTTTCTGCACCTAGCATCTACTTAGCTCTACATGTTGTAATTTGTTCTCACATGTTATATCCCCACGAAACCCGAAACGGTGTCGCATTTGTGAGTCGTGTCTGCTCGTGTCTGTGGGAAGAGGCAGCAGCGCTCGAGCGGGTCCGCGTGGAGGAAGAGGCACTTGTGCAGCACAGGGCTGCAGGCTACTGTACATAAAGTGTCATTTCGCAGCCTGGCATCATAGTCGCAATGTGGAAGTGAAAAGCATCGTGTCGACGAATTGCGTGCCGGTACGTAGTCTCGTGATGACCGAACATACAGTCTCAGATCATAGCACCCGAATCGACTGCAAGCACCGTCTTCGATTCATCATCGCGGCTGGTGTTGGGTGTAGCGGTTCGGCTGGGTTTTGGAGCAGCGCTTCTGTGTGATAGCTTCAGTGCTAGCACAATTGCCGTGCTATGGTGTGCTTGATTCTAGATTTTCCCACCCGACTGCCCGGGAAGGGAAGAGTTTCTGCGGTTTCTGCTGCATAGGATTTAAAGGCTTGTCCACACCCATTGTGTGCACTGCATAAGAACGTGTGAGGAGTGTTGACCAACTTGGATGTGGCATAGTATGTGTGCACAGGAGAAGGCACGAATGGAAGAAGAAAGGCTTCGACAGGAGGCAAGCTTGATATGCAGCATCAGGGTCTTAATGACAACGCCTGGCCGAACGATCATGCAGGGTGCCACATTTATCGTGAGGCAGCGCTCGAGCGGGACCGCGCAGAGGAAGAGGCACTTATGCTGCAGAGGGCTGCAGGCGATGTTGTCCTTCGTAGGCGGACATGAACCCGGACGTGATGCCTTGCGCAATCAAAACGTGGAACTGAATAGCGTTTTGTTCACGAAGCTCGTAGCTGGTGGCCTCGTGATGACATAGTTTGCGAGAGTATGTGCGTGTATATGTTGTATATGTCTTCTATATATATATATATAGACAGGTGGATAGGCTGTGATTATACAGCGTGGCTCAGCGCCCGAATCTACAGAAGAGTTGGTGAAGTTGAGATCACCAGAATCTTGCATAGAGTGGGCGCGAGTAAAAGAAGAAAGGCTACAACAGGAGGCGAGCGTGATATGCAGCATCATGGTTTTACTTCACCCGGCTTGATGCTGGCACAGCGTGTCGCATTTGTCGTGTCTGCTCGTGTCTGTGGGAAGAGGCAGCAGCGCTCGAGCGGGTCCGCGTGGAGGAGGAGGCACTTGTGCAGCACAGGGCTGCAGGCTACTGTAAGGTGTTATTTCGCAGCACAGGGCTGCAGTCGAACCTGGTGTGTGGTAGCCTCGTCGCGACACGTGCAGTCCTGTAAGTGGCGGTGGCACAACACCTGAATCACACCTGAGTTTGCAGTGTACGGTTGGAGATACTGTAGCCAGATCATGCGCAGACGAAAGCAGGTGAGGAGGAGGTGTCACAACAGACTGCAGTCTCCAAGTTGGTGCCCCTTGCTTTTACAACTACGCGACAGATGCAGGCAGCCCGGGAGATGCACAGACAAGAGGTGGGCGGCATGTGCGCTGTCAGGTAGGTAGGTCATGACAAGCGTGCACGAATGTAATTACATCGCTTCAGGCTGACATGCTCGAATGTTGGCCGAGTCGCTTGGCGAATCGAATTCTGAATGTGATCTGTGTGCAGGAGAGGGCGCGACTGGAGGAAGAGAGGCGATGTCGAGAGGCGTGCGTGCGCAGCATCATATGGTAACGCACGCTCGGAACATGACTCCAGCTGCAGGGTTCGCTGCTGCTGCTGCTGCTGCTGCCACTGCCTAAGTATCTGGTTTCTGCAGGAAGAGGAGGCGCTCGAGCGGGCACGTTCGGAGGAAGAGGCGCGACGTGTATTGCTCGTGACAGGTTCAGTTGCCGCGGTCTCTAGTGTCTCGCGGTTCGCGACGGTGCAGTCAAGAGTCGAAACGAAGAACCTGTTTGAGAGTACTTTTCTCTGTAGTGACACAGCGAGGGCAGCATTCTGCACAACAGGAACTGGTGCTTGTCTTGTCGAAGTTCGCCACAAGCCAACGCTTGCAGGAGCTTGGAACGCAGCCACCTCATGCCGCGGATGCAGTTGAGGAGGTCATGGTCCGATTTCGGACACTGCAAGACGAGCCGAAACCAGTCGCGCAAGTTGCTGCCGCCGTGAAGAAGGCTTCCAATGTGCACCCGGAGAAGAAGGCCGATGTCGCTGATGCATCGACTTTGCAGGCACAGTTGTTGTTTTCGTGGGCTGCCCGGGCAGAATCCCCACAGTTGCGGGAGGAGGAAGGTGACGAGCGGCCGGCTAGAGCTAGAGAAGCAGAAAGAGCAGATGAGGCCAAGCCCGTCGAAGCTAACGGAATTCCGACTCCAGCACTCCAGTCTCCAGGCGCACAAGGGCCCGGAGGACAAAGTTCCGAGCTCGGCGGCTCTGCAGGCGGCCGCTGGAAAGCTCATGGAGAGGGTGAAAGCTGCCAGAGAGAGAAAGAAGCGGCCGGAAGAGTCCACCGAGGCCAGGAGGGTACCACTGCAGTAGCCGCCGTAGCCTTCGTTCGGCCTCCATGACACCATGGCTTTGCGACTAGCATCAGCCGTTAGCTGCAGTGGATTCTGCAGGAAGCGGAGCTGTGCACAGAGGAAGAGGCCTGGAGCACATTCCTGGCAACATAATAACTAACTGGGCTGTAGCTTGGCATGGTTTACGATGAGACGTTCAAAGGTGGACGTGATGACCTGTTTCCGTACATCCTTGCAGCAACATGCGGGTTTGCGTTCAGCCCGGTCCCCACAGCTCGGCATGAGACGGTGATGGCCGTCGCCGGCGCAGGAGCGAGAGGCACGCTTGGAGAAGAAGGAGCAGAGAGAGGAGGCGTCGGAGGCAGCAACGGTGGCAGCCCCCGCAATGGCCCCTGCAATCTCCAACTTGGTTGAACCAGGCAGAGGACATGCGCAGACAAGAGGTGGGGTATCATCTGTTGCAGAGACGGGTGTCGCAACTACCGCCACCCATGTTGCTCAGTGTCAGTGCCTACAGTTTGATGCAGGAGCAAGCAAGGGCTGAGGAGGAGATTCTTTGCCAGCTGGCACACTCTGCGCTTAGTGAGTGAAGTGCATAATGAAGCCATTCCCGAATGGACTCGTGCATACTCGTGCACAGGAAAGCTTACGATTAGAAGAAGAAAAGCACCGGCAAGAGGTGCGCAATGCTGCTTGCTCGGGCGAGTTGGCCTCTTCAGAGTATGCGCGAGAGGGCCCGCGCAGAGGAAGAGACAGTCGCAATGGAAGACCCAAAGATGTCTTGCATCTCCTATATACAGCCTAATTAGACGTTACCCGCAAAGACCAGGAGAGGGCACGGCTAGAAGAAGAGAGGCGCCGGCAAGAGGTGCGCGTGCTCTGTGTGGCGTCGTTATAATGCTCGGATAATTGGCGAAGCGGTGGGGGCGTCGCAGCTTTCGTGGCCTGCGCAGGAAGAGGAGGCGCTCCAGAGAGCCCGTGCGGAGGCAGAGGCAGTCCTGGGGAAGAACGAAGCTCCGCACCTCGACCCGTTGCAAGGATCAAAACATGAGACTTTGTTGCAAACGGCAGGAGAACGCACGCCTGGAGGAGGAGCGGCAGCGACAGGAGGTTCCATGCAAGACTGCAGTCTTCAGTTTGGTGGCATTTCGCTATAGAAGATGCAGGCGTCTGCAGAGACGCGCAGACAAGAGGAGCACTGCAACGTTAGAAAAAGCAATAGCATGCATGCTTCAATCCACTCGTTCTCTGTCTGTTGTGGCATGTGCGACGAGTGCTAGGTTCACTGTTGGCAGGAGCAAGCCAAGGCACAGGAGGAGGAGGAGCAGGCGTGCTTTCGCAATCGAAGTGATTTGCTTGAGCGAGTCGGGCTTCGTATCCGTGCATAGGAGCGGGGGCGATTAGAGGAACAGAGGCAGCGACGGGAGGCACGTGCAGCATGCGGCTATTGAAAGCTGGGGCAAGCGGTGAACGGGTGCCTCGCTGCCAAAGTTGTCCTTCATTGATTGAGCAGGAAGATGAGGCGCTGGAGAGGGCCCGTGCTCAAAAAGAGGAAAAATCGTACATACCGCTTGTAAAAGCCAAGCGAGATTCCGTAGCGGCCGTAGCGGTACTGTAGGGTGCACGCATGCAGGAAGAAAGGAAACGACAAGAGGTGCGTCTGCAAGATCTTTGTTCTGCAGCGCAGGCGTGGTTTCTAAATCTGTGTCGCCTGCAGGAGGAGGAAGCTTTGAGGAAGGCACACGCAGAGGAGGCGATGGTTTGCTGGTGACTGCTGAAAGCAACTTCTGGGTTGGCATATCATTGACGTATTGATTCCGGCGCTGAATATCTTCAGCTGTCTGATGCGGGATGGTGCAAAGATGCAGGCAGCGGAGAAGATGCACAGACAAGAGGTGGGCGCCGTGGGCCACGTTTTGTTCCTACACCAGTAGTTTTAAAGGTTTCTAGGCATCCTGCGTGTGGTACCTGCATAAGCAAACAGGAGAGCGCGCGATTGGAGCAAGAACAGTCGCATCGGGAACAGGTGGCTCTTGCGAAAGCCCGTGCAGAGCAAGAGGCACGCAGCGTGACCGTCCAGCAGCATGAGGAAAGCAGGGTGCTGTCTGTTCGTCTGTTCATGCAAAGGCTCTGCGGCAGGAGGAGGAAGCTCTGGAGAAGGCTTGGGCAAAGGAGGCCGCTAGCTACTACTGCCTCAGAGATCCCTTGCCTTCTGTCTGACGCCGACAGGCAGAGATGCGCAAAGAAGAGGCGGTGTAGCGGCGGTGATGTGAAGCAGGGGCTGATGTGCGTCTGCGTCACCGACAGGCGCAAGAGGCATTGGAGAACGCGCAGGCCGAAGAGGAGTGGCGTCAAGCCTTATCCGGCACACTCCGAACCTCGAAATCCGCTTACATCTGTGCACTTTCCTGGAGGCCGAGAATGCCCGAATCGAAGCAGAGGCCGAGAGCACGACGATTTCTATATGCTTGTTCATGATCTTTCGCGTTGATATTGGAGCCGGTTTGCTTCCCGGTTATCCCTGGAGGGCTAAGGCTACCTTGCGTCATAGAGATGATTCGGTTTGGGGTTGATTGGTGACAGTTTTTGGGTGCACAAAGCCTGAAGTCACGACCAACCCAAAGTATGTTTTAGGAGCATCTTTTCGGAGAAGGATCGGCGTGCAGGCTAAGGGTTGGCCCTTTGGTTGTCCAAACTTCGTCAACGCCCAGTGTAGTTTCTCTTGTTAAAGTCTGCCTGATCTGGACAGCTAGCTATCTCGTGTATGTGCCCAACCTTTTGGGTTTGGGCACTTTGGCTCGCCATCTGCGCACGTAGACGACATGTTGAGGAAATTGACAAATTCCTCTCCAAGCTGAGTCTGGCTGGGATCCTAGCACTACGGGTCAGGACCGTTGAACCAAGTTGACGGAACCTGAGTGTGCAAGGGCGAGGGAAGGGGTTCATGGGTTGGGGTGCTGGTGCTACTACTGCTTGCTGCAACTCTCTCTATAGTCCAATGACTAGTCCTCCTCCTTCTCAGCCGCTCCTGCTACTACGACTATACTACCACCACCCCCACCAGTGCAAAAAGCTCTGCTACCTACTGTTACTGCAATGCGTGGCATAAACAGCTGGGACTTTGAGGCTCCAGTGGCTGTGCACGGCGTGGACACGGCAAAGCCCGTGGACCAGACCTCAGCCAGCACAGTTTCTGCGCATGCACGTGAAATGCAAGGCTTCAGCGTTCGGTAAAGTGGAATGCCATCGCCCGGTTCCTTACACGGATTGCAGAGAGCCGCGGTAGCCGGTCAGGAGAGCGCAGGCTTGGAGGAGGAGAGGCAGGGACAGGAGGTGCGACGGCAGCGACACTGCAGTCTCCAATTTGGTGGCAGAAAGCTGATGACTGGGCGAACAAGGGGCGTGCATGTGTAGTGGCTTCTGCAGGCGCTCGAGAGTGCCCGTGCAGAGGAAGAGGCACTTGTGCGTTTTGCTGGCAGCAGACTAGGTTGGTGTCCTGTAGCCGCTGTAGCCTTCCTGCAGCCTGACAAGGACCACGACATACCGCCACTTGCAATCATGGCCTCGCGGTGATGTGTATAATGGTACATATAATAAGATAACATACATTATAACACTACCATGTACTATGTAATATAATATGATATGTATATATATATATATGTACATATATGTACATATATATATATATACAATGTACACACACATACACAAGTTTGTGTATACATAGATACATAAATTATGTGTGTATATATATATACATATATACATATATACACACGCATGTTCTGCATATCTGCAAAAGATCGTCAGTTCTTTATGTTCTTTATGTACATACACGCGTCTGTATTAATTATGTATGTATGCAAAGATGCACACGTGCACGATGTAGATATCTGCTTGTGTATTGGTATGAAGCTTTCCAATGCAGGCAGCAGAGGTGTGCAGACAGGAGGCAGGCAGTATCTGGGTTGCTGCGGTAGGTGAGCAAGCTTACTTGCTTGGTCTATATCAACCCTTAGACAGTTTCGCGCACAGGAGCAAGCCGCACAGGAGAAAGCACGGCTAGAAGAAGAGAGGCACCGGCAAGAGGTGCGCGTGCTCTGTGCGGCTTGATCGTTAACGCTCGGATATAATTGGCGAAGCAGTGGGAAGGTGTCGCAGCTTTCATGGCTTGCGCAGGAAGAGGAGGCGCTCCAGAGAGCCCGTGCGGAGGCAGAGGCAGTCCTGGGGGAAGAACGAAGCTCCGCACTTCGACGCGTTACAAGGATCAAAACATGAGACTTTGTTGCAAACGGCAGGAGAACGCACGCCTGGAGGAGGAGCGGCAGCGACAGGAGGTTCCATGCAAGACTGCAGTCTTCACTTTGGCACGCGTCTGCCAAGCTTTTGTGCTTCGCTCTGCTATCTAGAGATGCAGGCGGAAGCGGAGATGCGCAGACAAGAGGAGCACCGCAAAGTTAGGTAAAAGACAGCATGCTACACTCCACTCGTTCTCTGTCTGTTTTGGCATGTGCGACGAGTGCTAGGTTCAGTGTTCATGCTTACAATAGCAATGATTCCAGTCTGTGGCAGGAGCAAGCCACGGCAGAGCAGGAGGCATGCCTTTGCAGCCGAAGTGATTTGCTTGAGCGAGTCGGGCCTGACATCCGTGCATAGGAGAGGGTGCGACTAGAGGAAGAGAGGCGGCGACAGGAGGCGCGCAGCATTCGGCTGTTGAGAGCTCGGGCAAGTGGCCACTCCGAACGAAGCGTGGCTGTCACCTGTGTAGGAAGAGGAGGCCCTTGAGAGAGCGCGTGTTGAGAAAGAGGCCAGCGTGCATGCGCAGCGCGCTGCACTGCTTGCAACATGTCAATGCTCAGACCGTTTTGTGCAGGAGCAAGCTAAGGCTGAGCAGGAGATTCTTGGGTAGCTGGACTAGACCAATCTTGGAGTCTCATATCCATGTCCGCCGGACGACTTCAATGAACGGTGCACAGGAGAAAGCACGGCTAGAAGAAGAGAAGCGCCGGCAAGAGGTGCGCGTGCTTTGTGCGGCGTCATCGTTAATGTTCGGATATAATTGGCGAAGTGGTGGGAGGGTGTCGCATCTTTCATGGCTTGCGCAGGAAGAGGAGGCGCTCCAGAGAGCCCGTGCGGAGGCAGAGGCAGTCCTGGGGGAAGAACGAAGCTCCGCACTTCGACGCGTTACAAGGATCAAAACATGAGACTTTGTTGCAAACGGCAGGAGAACGCACGCCTGGAGGAGGAGCGGCAGCGACAGGAGGTTCCATGCAAGACTGCAGTCTTCACTTTGGTGGTCTGACATGCTGGCACGCGTCTGCCAAGCTACAGTGCCTTGCTCTGCTATATAGAAATCCAGGCGGAAGCTGAGATGCGCAGACAAGAGGAGCACCGCAAAGTTAGTAAAAGACAGCATGCTACACTCCACTCGTTCTGTGTCTGTTTTGGCATGTGCGACGAGTGCTAGGTTCAGTGTTCATGCTTACAATAGCAATGATTACAGTCTGTGGCAGGAGCAAGCCAAGGCAGAGGAGGAGGCACGCCTTTGCAGCCGAAGTGATTTGCTTGAGCGAGTCGGACATGACATCCGTGCATAGGAGAGGGCGCGACTAGAGGAAGAGAGGCGGAGACGGGAGGCACGCGCAGCATTCGGCTGTTGAGAGCTCGGGCAAGTGGCCACTCCGCACGAAGCGTGGCTGTCACCGGTGTAGGAAGAGGAGGCCCTCGAGAGAGCGCGTGTTGAGAAAGAGGCCAGCATGCATGTGCGGCTTGCTTCACTGCTTGCAACATGTCAACGCTCAGACCGTTTTGTGCAGGAGCAAGCCAAGGCTGAGCAGGAGATTCTTGGGTAGCTGGACTAGACCAATCTTGGAGTCTCATGTCCATGTCCGCCGGACGACTTCAATGAACGGTGCACAGGAGAAAGCACGGCTAGAAGAAGAGAAGCGCCGGCAAGAGGTGCGCGTGCTTTGTGCGGCGTCATCGTTAACGTTCGGACATAATTGGCGAAGTGGTGGGAGTGTGTCGCATCTTTCATGGCTTGCGCAGGAAGAGGAGGCGCTCCAGAGAGCCCGTGCGGAGGCAGAGGCAGTCCTGGGGGAAGAACGAAGCTCCGCACTTCGACGCGTTACAAGGATCAAAACATGAGACTTTGTTGCAAACGGCAGGAGAACGCACGCCTGGAGGAGGAGCGGCAGCGACAGGAGGTTCCATGCAAGACTGCAGTCTTACTTTGGTGGTCTGACATGCTGGCACGCATCTGCCAAGCTACAGTGCCTTGCTCTGCTATATTAATATAGACATGCAGGCGGAAGCGGAGATGCGCAGACAAGAGGAGCACCGCAAAGTTAGTAAAAGACAGCATGCTACACTCCACTCGTTCTCTGTCTGTTTTGGCATGTGCGACGAGTGCTAGGTTCAGTGTCCATGCTTGCAATGATTGCAGTCTGCGGCAGGAGAAAGCCAAGGCAGAGGAGGAGGCACGCCTTTGCAGCCGAAGTGATTTGCTTGAGCGAGCCGGACATGACATCCATGCATAGGAGAGGGCGCGACTAGAGGAAGAGAGGCGGCGACAGGAGGCGCGCAGCATTCGGCTGTTGAGAGCTCGGGCAAGTGGCCACTCCGACCGAAGCGTGGCTGTCACCGGTGTAGGAAGAGGAGGCCCTCGAGAGAGCGCGTGTTGAGAAAGAGGCCAGCATGCATGTGCAGCTTGCTGCACTGCTTGCAACATGTCAATGCTCAGACCGTTTTGTGATGTTTTGTGCAGGAGCAAGCCAAGGCTGAGCAGGAGATTCTTGGGTAGCTGGACTAGACCAATCTTGGAGTCTCATGTCCATGTCCGCCGGACGACTTCAATGAAAAGTGCACAGGAGAAAGCACGGCTAGAAGAAGAGAAGCGCCGGCAAGAGGTGCGCGTGCTCTGTGCGGCGTCATCGTTAATGTTCGGATAGAATTGGCGAAGTGGGGGGAGGGTGTCGCATCTTTCATGGCTTGCGCAGGAAGAGGAGGCGCTCCAGAGAGCCCGTGCGGAGGCAGAGGCAGTCCTGGGGGAAGAACGAAGCTCCGCACTTCGACGCGTTACAAGGATCAAAACATGAGACTTTGTTGCAAACGGCAGGAGAATGCACGCCTGGAAGAGGAGCGGCAGCAACAGGAGGTTCCATGCAAGACTGCAGTCTTCACTTTGGTGGTCTGACGTGCTGGCACGCGTCTGCCAAGCTACAGTGCCTTGCTCTGCTATATAGAATATAGAAATGCAGGCGGAAGCGGAGATGCGCAGACAAGAGGAGCACCGCAAAGTTAGCAAAAGACTGCATGCTACAATCCACTCGTTCTCTGTGTGTTTGGCATGTGCGACGAGTGCTAGGTTCAGTGTTCATGCTTGCAATGATTGCAGTCTGCGGCAGGAGAAAGCCAAGGCAGAGGAGGAGGCACGCCTTTGCAGCCGAAGTGATTTGCTTGAGCGAGCCGGACATGACATCCATGCATAGGAGAGGGCGCGACTAGAGGAAGACAGGCGGAGACGGGAGGCACGCGCAGCATTCGGCTGTTGAGAGCTCGGGCAACTGGCCACTCCGACCGAAGCGTGGCTGTCACCGGTGTAGGAAGAGGAGGCCCTCGAGAGAGCGCGTGTTGAGAAAGAGGCCAGCGTGCATGTGCAGCTTGCTGCACTGCTTGCAACATGTCAATGCTCAGACCGTTTTGTGCAGGAGCAAGCTAAGGCTGAGCAGGAGATTCTTGGGTAGCTGGACTAGACCAATCTTGGAGTCACATGTCCATGTCCGCCGGACGACTTCAATGAACGGTGCACAGGAGAAAGCACGGCTAGAAGAAGAGAAGCGCCGGCAAGAGGTGCGCGTGCTCTGTGCGGCGTCATCGTTAACGTTCGTATATAATTGGCGAAGTGGTGGGAGGGTGTCGCATCTTTCATGGCTTGCGCAGGAAGAGGAGGCGCTCCAGAGAGCCCGTGCGGAGGCAGAGGCAGTCCTGGGGCGCACTTCGACGCGTTACAAGGATCAAAACATGGGACTTTGTTGCAAACGGCAGGAGAACGCACGCCTGGAGGAGGAGGAGCGGCAGCGACAGGAGGTTCCATGCAAGACTGCAGTCTTCACTTTGGTGGTCTGACGTGCTGGCACGCGTCTGCCAAGCTACAGTGCCTTGCTCTGCTATATAGAAATCCAGGCGGAAGCTGAGATGCGCAGACAAGAGGAGCACCGCAAAGTTAGTAAAAGACAGCATGCTACATCCACTCCTTCTCTGTCTGTTTGGCATGTGCGACGGGTGCTAGGTTCAGGTCAATGCTCAGACCGTTTTGTGCAGGAGCAAGCTAAGGCTGAGCAGGAGATTCTTGGGTAGCTGGACTAGACCAATCTTGGAGTCTCATGTCCACGTCCGCCGGACGACTTCAATGAAAAGTGCACAGGAGAAAGCACGGCTAGAAGAAGAGAAGCGCCGGCAAGAGGTCCGGGTGCTCTGTGCGGCAACGTTCGGACAGAATTGGCGAAGTGGTGGGAGGGTGTCGCATCTTTCATGGCTTGCGCAGGAAGAGGCGCATCGCACAGAGGCAGAAGAGCCATGTTCGGCTTATGTTTCTCCCTGATTGGGGCTGTCTGCATTTTGCCCGGGCTTCTTAGAAGCTGATTTCGATGTATATAAACTGGCGCTTTTTTTTTGACGGAAGAAATCAACTGCTAGGTTTCCTTTGTTGTGTCTCGTTTTTGTTATGCTTGTGGGGCACCCCTCAGTTTTTGCCGCTAAGGCTAGTATGTTTTGCGGTTATGTTCAGAGTTAAGATTTGTGCTGGTCGGCTTCATCCTGAAGAGAGAGAGAAATGCTTGGAATTCCTTTTTGCCTGCGGAACGCCATCGTTTCAATTTTGCCCTCCGGTTCTGGCTCTGCACGCCATATCAGGCCATGTTTGGTTTTGATTTCCTATTTAAATTTCGTCTCCTTTGTCATGGTGTGAAACTGGTTTTAGCCATGCTTGGCTTGGTTCAAGCAAACGTTCGCGCAGTGGCCTTGTTCGTAAGGAGAAGATTCATGCAGTGTTTTCTCTGGTCCTTGTTATGTTTGGCAGCTATCTCAATGTTTGAAATGTCGTCCACCGGCTGAACCGAGAACGTTTGTAGTTTCTCTGTTCATGTGAATTTTCGTTCCGGCCTTGTCCTTAAGCGACGACATCTGCAGTTTTCTTCCTTGAATTGAGGGGCTTGTTTTGCTTCAACATTCAACTTGTCGCGGCGGCCTGAAAGCGGAGACATCGGCGAATTCGCCTTTGTTCCAGGCCAGGTGCCGACACTCTGCGGGTCCAGAAAGAAAGACCCTGTGGGGTTCGGAGAAAGATACGGGGTGAACTGCTGGACATTTTGAGGGGGAGAACGGGACTGATTGAATCACGTTCAAAAAAGCTGCAGATACAACAAGCCTCGTTGTTGAAAAGGGAAGCCCTTTGGTCCACCTCGACCCGCTACCAGTATCAACACAATAGACTGCGTTGCAAACGGCAGGAGAACGCACGCCTGGAGGAGGAGCGGCAGCGACAGGAGGTGCCGTGCATTGACGTATTGATTCCGGCGCAAACATCTTCAGCTGCCTGATGTGGGATGGTGCAAAGATGCAGGCCGCGGAGGAGATGCGCAGACAAGAGGTGGGCGCCGTGGGCCACATTTTGTGCCCACACTAGTCGGACGTAGCAAGGTAGGCTCCAGATGGTACCGGCACAAACATGCAGGAGCTGGCGCGATTGCAGGAAGACAAGTCACGCCGGGAGGTGCACAGCAGACATCGCTCAGCACGGGGTCCGTTAATTGCCAGAAAATCGTCGAAGGAAGAGGAGGTTCTTGCGACTGCGATTGCAGAGCAAGAGGCTGGCAGCAAGCCATCTGAAATCTGCAGTGGTACTGTTCCGCGGCAGCAAGTGCGCCATGGCCTTGTCCGTTGTCACTGATCCCGAAACATGAAACTTGAAGCAACTGCAAAACCGGATGTGGGGATGCGCCCGGACCGCGCGAAGAAGTCCGACACTTGGCTCAGAGAGTGCCCACTCGCATTGATTTGGAGTTTGAGCAGGTGCAAAGGAAGCAAAAAGTGTAAGCGAAGAGCAGTAATTTGTCATTTCCAACATTTTGAAACCTTCGTCCGTTCTAGCATCGCAGTGTGCCGGGGGTTCAGCATTCAGATCACCCGGCACTTCGAAGAAAGCCACAGCTTATGCAGGAGAGCGCTCGCTTGGAGGAGGAGAGGCAGAGACAGGAGGTGCCATGACCGCGGGCGGTCACCAATTCACTGGTCTTGTGCTCCTTGAACGATGCCCTGTGTACCAGATGCAGGCAGCAGAGGTTCGCAGACAGGAGGTGGGCAGTATGTGCATTACTGCCTTACCGATCAAGGTAGGTGTAGCAAGTGCTACCGTTTGGATTAGTTTTGTCGGCGTGCTCACTTGCTTGGTCTACAGTGCCAATGCTCAGACCGTTTTTGTGCAGGAGCAAGCCAAGGCTGAGCAGGAGTTTCTTGGGTACGAGTAGCTGGACTAGATCATTCTCGGAGTCTCATGTCTCCACGTCCTCCGGACGACTTCCATGAACGGTGCACAGGAGAAAGCACGGCTAGAAGAAGAGAGGCGCCGGCAAGAGGTGCCCGTGCTCTGTGCGGCGTCGTTACAACGCTCGGATGATTGGCGAAGCGGTGGGAGGGTGTCGCATCTTTCATGGCGTGCGGAGGAAGAGGAGGCGCTCCGGAGAGCCCGTGCGGAGGAAGAGGCAGTCCTGGATGGGGGAACACGAAGCTGCGCACCTCGACCCGTTACAAGGATTAAAACATGAGACTTTGGTGCAAACGGCAGGAGAACGCACGCCTGGAGGAGGAGCGGCGGCGACAGGAGGTTCCATGCAAGACTGCAGTCTTCACTTTGGTTGTCTGGCAGGGCTGGCATGCGTCTGCCAAGCTGCAGTGCTTTGCTTTGCTGCGTAGACATGCAGGCGGCAGCGGACATGCGGAGACAAGAGGAGCACCACAAAGTTAGGGAAAGCAACAGCATGCTGCAATCCACTCTTTCTTTGTCTGTTTGGCATGTGCGACGAGTGCTAGATTCAGTGTTTATGCTTACAGCGTTTACAGTCTGTGGCAGGAGCAAGCTAAGGCAGAGGAGGAGGCGCAGCTGTTTCAGTCGGAGTGATTACAGCGAGTCCGGCATCGCATCCGTGCATAGGAGCGGGCGCGATTTGAGGAAGAGAGGCGGCGACGAGAGGCACGTGGCATGCGGTTGTTGAGCGCTCGGGCAACTGGTCATGCTGAACGATTCCTCGCTCCCGAAGTCGCCCTTCATTGAGCAGGAAGATGAGGCGCTCGAGAGGGCCCGCGCCGAGAAAGAGGCAACTATGATGCTATGATGTGCAGATGTTTGATGCCCTGATTGCAGCCGCCAATTGCCGCTGCATTGTTGACCTGGAACTGCGAGATTCCGTAGCGCTAGAGTGCACGCATGCAGGAAGAAAGGAAGCGACAAGAGGTGCGTTTGCAAGATCTTTGTTCTGCAGCGCAGGCGTGGTTGCTAAATCTGTGTCGCCTGCAGGAGGAGGAAGCTTTGAGGAAGGCCCGCGCAGAGGAGGCGATGGTTTGCTGGTGACTGCTGAAAGCAACTTCTGGCTTGGCATATATCATTGACGTAATTATTGATTCCGGCGCAAAATATCTTCAGCGGCCTGATGTGGGATGGTGCAAAGATGCAGGCCGCGGAGGAGATGCGCAGACAAGAGGTGGGCACCGTGGCCCACATTTTGTGGCCACACTAGTCACAAACATACAGGAGCTGGCGCGATTGCAGGAAGAAAAGCCGCGCCGGGAGGCGCACAGCAGACATCGCTCAGCACGGGGTCCGTTAATTGCCAGAAAATCGTCGAAGGAAGAGGAGGCTCTTGCGACTGCGATTGCAGAGCTAGAGGCTGGCAGCAAGCCATCTGAAATCTGCAGTCGTACTGTTCTGCAGCGTTGAAAGTGGGCAGCTGCCAAACGGATTTGGGATGCAGTCGGACTGCACGAAGCACAAACGAAGCCACGTAGGGAGGAGGAGAGGCAGAGACAAGAGGTGCTCCCCACTTTATGCCCGGCATGGGGAAGAGAAGATTGGGACAGTTCTAGTACGAAAGAAACAGAGAGATCTGCAGACGAGGGCGGGCCTCCACGGGCTGCGGGAGCCAAGTATGTCTGGCCAAGTCAAGAGATGCCAAGAGGTCTTGCACAGGCCAGGACTCGCTTCACGCAAAGCGGGAAGGGAGGGCACCAGCTTCTCCCAGAGGCCTGGTGCGTTTCTCAGCACTTGGTGCCAACTTCCCTTTACTGTTCCCTTCCCTCAGTCCGAAGTTTCGCAGAGGAGCTGGGGACCTGTCCTGTATGCAGCAGTATGTGACACTCCTGACTTGTCTTCCCCCGAACAACAACAGGGGTGAGCTTTCCGCTCCGAAGGCCCTCGAACGCCCTTTGTGAACCGGAGAGTGAGAGAGCCCACAATATGGGGGACGGAGGGGAGTGGCCGCTGCCTCTCCTTCTGAAAGAAAGAGGGTGAGAGAGAGCCTGGAAACAGGACAGGTTTGCTGTTGCATGCCATGGAGCCACATACTCCCTGTACGGTGGAAGCAAAGAGCGGCATTCCCACTTGTAGCCTCGCAATGGCACTAGTAAAGTTGGTACAGTTGACATTACACGTCTGTCTACACATTCAGAGACACCGAGAGCCAACGCAGCAGAACCCCCATGGGGGGAGGCGTGCCTGCATGCGTTAGCATGGAGCAAGCAAGCAAGCCAACGTAGGAGAGGGTGCGCTTGGGGGAGGAGAGGCCGAGACAGGAGGTGCCATGACAGCAACAGCGCAAGCTTCACTCGGTAGCCGCATGCTCCTTGAACTGTCGTGATGATAGTCATGTCATGTGCCATTGCAGGCAGCAGAGGTGCGCAGGCGAGAGGCGGGCAGTATGTGTATAGTATAATTTTCGGATGCGTGTAGCAACTGCTGCACGGTCGGTTCGGCATGCTTACTTGAATCGAGTTTTGCATCTTGGATTGTGCCCGTCCGACGTCGGCCGGAGTGTGTGCATAGTGTCTATATGCACAGGAGAGGACCCGATTAGAAGAACAAAGGCGACACCAAGAGGCGCTCCATATGCAGCAGGATCAGAATCTCATAACTGGCTCTATGATCGGGTGGCGCGAGAGCATCTGTGGTTGCCCGGTCTCGCAGGAGGAGGAAGCGCTCGAGCGGGCTCGGGCAGAGGAACAGGCACCTGTGCATATTATTGGCGGCAGGCTAGGTTACTGGCAGAGGCCATCGCTGGCCTAATAGCCTGACATGCACGGGCAGGACATACCACCACTTGTACTCTAGGTGACAGTGAAAGGCAGCATTTCCGAGCTGGGTGTCTTGGTAGCCTCGCAGTGACACACATACTGGGTGTTCCGCACCCGAACTCACGCGAGAGACAGGAGGTGCCGTGACAGCAACACTGCTGTCCTCAATTTGGTAGCTGTGTGCCACTTGATCTATGCCATGATTGTTTATGCCAGATGCAAGCAGCAGAGGAAGGGCGGAAACGAGAGGCGCGCGAGCACGTGCGGTATGCGGGATCATCATGAACGCTCGGAGATGTGCCCAGATGTGAATTGATGTCTCGTAACTTCTGCAGGAAGAGGCACTCGAGAGGGCCCGCACCGAGGAAGAGGCACCTTTGGTCTGTCGACATCTTGCAGTCTGTCATAGACCCACGACTTGCAATCATGGCCTCGCAGTGCCAGTACGGTTAAGTTAAGCATCCCATTGCCATGCAGGCAGAGGAGATGCGCAGACAAGAGGTGGGGCAGCAACTGCTGCCGCCCACTATATACAGTTTGACAATGCTGCTTGCTTCCTACAGTCCGGCAGTTTGGTGCAGGAGCAAGCCAAGGCTGCAGAGGTGCTCAGCAGCCCCAGGGATGATGAAGCGATTCGCGAATCGTACAAGTACCTTTGCACAGGAGAAGGCACGACTGGAAGCAGAAAGGCAGCGGAAAGAGGTGCGCAATGTAACCTACTCGGGCAGGGAGTCATGGACGTGGCTGGTTTTTGCAGGAAGAGGAGGCGCTCGAGAGGGCCCGCGCAGAGGAACGGAAGAGCAAAGTTGCTCTGCACCACCGCCTACATAGCAGGGGTTTTCACGCGCGGAGACTGACTCGACCCTTCACGGAGGAGAACGCGCGCTTCGAGGAGCGGCAGCGACACGAGGTCCCGTGCAAGACTGCAGTCTCCACTTTGGTGGGCTCTTGCTGTTGGAGCAACACCTGATAGACATACCTGTAAAGCCTTGTTCTGCGAAGTCTGCAGGCAGCAGAGGAGCTGCGCAGACAAGAGGTGGGCAGTGTGTGCTAGACGGATTTCATTTGTGAGAAGCAACGGCATCACAGCATGCTGGACTTCACTCGTGCTGTGTCAAGGGTGCTTGTGCTTCTTTGGTTTAGTCTGGACGTGGGCTGTTTGAGTCAAATCAAGGCAGAGGAGGAGGTGCAGTCTTTCAGCTGAGGTGATCACTTGAGCGAGTCGTGCATGGTATCCGTGTGTAGGAAAGGGCGAAAATAGAGGAAGAGAGGCGGCGGCGAGAGGCGCGTCGTTGTTGCGGGCTCGGGCAACTGCTCACTCCAAACGGTGCATGACTGCCGCCGCCGTTGTCCTTCATTGAACAGGAAAAGGAGGTGCTCGAGAGGGCCCGCGCTGAGAAGGAGGTTTCGCAGCAGTTTGGCAAGCACGGTTTCTACTTTGTGTCGGCTGCAGGAGGAGGAAGCTTTGAGGAGGGCTCGTGCAGAGCAGGCAGTGGCTTCCGGTGACCACGGGGTTGGTGCTAAATAGCTTGAGTTGCAGGCAGCAGAGGAGATGCGCAGACAAGAGGTGGGCCGCGTTTGTGCCCTGTAAGATATGCAATATGTGGTACCTGGGTCGCAGGAAGAATTAGCTCGTGCAAATGCCAGTGCAGAACAAGAGGCTGGCAGCGTTGCCGTGTGGCAGTACGACCGGTTTCGTTCATAGTCATACCCATAGGCCCCGAAGTAGTTCCTTTTTGGAGTTACCCTATAGGATTCTAAATATGAACCCCCAAAAGGAACTACTTTGGGGCCTATGGGTCGTCAAAGATTGCCAGTGATGGAGCAGGGACCTGGGAGCTTCAGAACGGGGAACTGCTAGCTGCTAGAACGGCAGCGGGCGACTTTGCAAGGGATTTCTATAGATTCTCTAGGGATCCTCAAGGACAGAGCTGAGAACGAGAGCCGTTCGCAGGCGAGAGCACGGATGGAGCAGGGGAGGAAGCGACGAGAGGTGCGACCTGACGCAGCTATCAGATTCGCACATTTCCACATGAATTCGGGTTGTGTTGACCTTCTGCAGGAGGAGGAAGCTGCGGAGCAGGTACGTGCAAAGGGCTGGATAGCACGTATAGCACTGGCCCAGAGATCGTGCTGCCGACAGGCGGAGATACGCAAACGAGAGGCGGTGGCGGTGCTGTTGTGAAGCATGGGTGGATGTGGGTCTTGGCACCGACAGGATCGAGTCGCGTTGGAGAACGCAAAGGCCAAAGAGGCTGGAAGCACACCCGACCGAATCGACACAGAGGCCCAGAGCACCCTCTGACTTTGCTTGATATGTTTATAACTATGATCTTTTCGGTCGAATTCTTGAACCGGTTGACTGCCGGGTTGAGTCATATCCTGCAGTTCGTGTCCCAGGAAGGCTTCTTTGGATTTTGGAGATTATAGGGATTAGGGTTTTGGTGTAATTTCCGACAGGTCTTGGCGCAGCAAATCAATCAAAGCCGATGTGGTGCTAAGAACCTGCCTTTCTGTGTGTTCTCCGGTTGTCACTGCGTGGTGCGAGCTAGGTGAGGTCAGGCGAGGCGCAGTGCTTCAGTAAGATAAGCCAGTCGTGTAATGGCGCAACGGAGTTCATGAACAGACTCAAGTGACTCAAGTGGTCTATATAGTAGTTGGCTCACTTTCTGGATGTTGCCCGGGGACGAATTCGGAAATGGCGTAATGCACTAGGGTCACTAGGGGTTATTTGGGTCGGGTGGGCTGGGCTGTGACAGGAAGGTCAACCTCACATCCAGAAACATTGGGCGAACTACACCCAAAGAATTCCAAAAGAGCCCCTGAGCCTCCAGTCGTGCCAGGCAGGGAAGACTCGAGCCAAGATGCCATCACCGAGGCAGCAGCTTAAACTTTGCCATAGGCCCATAGTCGCCGGCACTATATCGGTCCATACATGAGCTGTCCACTCGATTTCGACATTGGACATGCTTGGCACTTCAAGCCGATTGCTCCTCGAACAGCCAGGGAAACAAGCAAGCAAACCGCTCGCAGACAGCATGTAGCCGAACTGCAGGGCCACTTCATCCAATGATGTCAGTCCGCCGTCGCTCGGAGATCATTCTGGTAGTTGCCTGGTTGTGTCTGCTTCTTTGCCGCTCTTTCCCAAGGTCTGGCGATCCCAAGCACCGCTTCACGATTGAAGCAACGGGAAGCTCATCAGAGATTCCACTTCGTCGACAAGTGGCCAGGATCTTGGAGTCAGAAGTTTTGGTGGCCTCTGGATAATACATCGTATATAGAGAGATTTTCGCAGTCGTAGTGCAAAGCATCTAGTATCTGGTATGTAGTGGTGTATCGGTACACGGTATATACTTAATAATAGGAAAATTTAGTGCCTATAGGCTGTAGTCATGTAGATATATAGTAAGGTATTGTATAGCAGCGCAGGCCGGCATGCCTTCCCGGCCTGCTCAGGTGCCTCCGTCGAGTCAGGCAGTTGAAGAGCTTTCTACACTTCAGCATCGGCCAAGCTCAGTATCAATGACAGCAAAGGTGCAGGCAGGCCCTGGGCTTTCGCGTATGGTTCTAGTGCTGTGGTCAGTGCCGTTTGATTCGCCTCAACCTTTCTTCATAGCAGCAGCAACTTGGTTCTGACTTGCGGCGCGGTCTCATGCTATTGACACGAGTCGGCGAGCTACACTCTAAGTGTGTGTATTTGCCTGCTGTCCATTCCTCGGCAGTCTCTTGCACCGAGTCTTGTGTAGGCCACGAGGATTTCGAGCCCACCCCCACAGGACAAGAACGGGAAATGCATCAACAGTATCGACTGCTTCCGTTCGATTCCCTGTGCTCAACTATATGCAGGGTGAAACTCGCGGCTAGACATCCGGATTTGTGCGGCCGTGCTTGATGCTGATAATGCCTGGAGGGGTCCGAGTCGCGAGGGTCGAACTTCTGCAGGTGAAGGCATGAAAGGATTTGGACGAAAGGGTTCTTCCGATCGACAATTCGGGTCATGGCAGTTTCAGGCTTAGTTTTCAAGCAACTTGCACGACGTGGCTGTTGCGCGCTGCAGGACGCCGCGACCCCTTCGGACAAGTTTCAGATCTTGCAAAGACAAGGGCCTGAAACCCAGGAAGGGGTCTACTGAATGTGTCATCACCTTCTTCTGATGCCACCTGCCGCCTTCACTATTTCAGGATGCGTCAGGTAGCCTCTACCGTTTGGATGGCCGCAGCTCAGCACCATATAGGTTCTAGCCTGTTTAACATGAACAAGAGACCGCAGCCCGAGATAGTGTGAACACTCTGCATACAAGAATCTGCCAAGGAAACTCCCCGACAGACGCTTCCAGCAAGCGTTCGTCAGGTCATGAGGCACCGGCCGAATTAGGTGGTGCAAACGGCCGGATTACGGGGTATGTATGGGTGTGTAGCGTGCAGAGCTGTTGAGCTGCAAAGATGCAAGAAGCAATCTTTGGTCTTTGGCTTGGGCAGATCAGCATCTAGTCCAAGCACAGCTGTGGTGGCCGCCGTGGCAGCTGTAGCGAAGGTGAAGGCAGTTCAGCATCTTGGCTGAGAACTAAATACTGAATCATACCTGTGTCTGCATGCTTGAAAATCTCGAGCTGCCTTTCGGTTCGGCTCTGCTGCTTCGAGGCGGTGCAAGCCCGATCAGTGGGTACCGGTGGTGCCGGCTGCGAGTGAGACGTGGAATCGACGGAGCCAAAGCCCCGCTCCCACTATTCCACGCTACGCAAGTTACAGCTACAAGCTGCCAGCAGTTCCCAGCGCTCAGCAGCTTCTGGCCAGTCCAAGGCCTTTGCAAGAACAAGCTTAACTAAGCGTTTGTATCAGTGAATAGGCGAATGCCTCTGATGCACATGTCCTGCGATGCCCTGGAAAGGCAGAGCTTACAGAGTTCGACTGGCACCTTGGACACCCCTGGAACTGCCACTCACAGGATGGTTTGCCAGCCAGTGGCAGCAACTCAATCATGGGCAGATTTGGCGGCGAGGGCGCGTGAGTCCTGCCAACAAGCCCTTCAAGCCGTTGCCAGTCCGAGCCCCATAACTCCGAGAACGGCATGGATGGACCTCTCACCGCGAAGCAAGTCTTTGTCTCGCTTTGATGGTGCCAGCTCACCTCCGCCAAGAGCGCGTGTGGAGCATCGGTTTGTCGCAGACCCAATGTTGCCAGCGACTCGTACTGCTTCTCCGATGGCACGAGCCTAGCTTGCATTTGCCTCCAGTTCACCCCTGCGGCTTCACGGTTTCCGTCGATATCCAGCTTGCTTCGTGCCTGCGAGGATCGCCAGTGTACGATCACCGCAATACCGTTTGGCTAGACACGATGAGGTTGCCGCCTCAAGGAAGTACCTCAAGAGCAGCTTGCAAACATGATCTGTCGAGGTCACCTCGTCCGACAGCACAGGTGCCTGAGCTGCGAGGGCGAAAGGGTGCGGGGCTGCGACAGCACTGGTCGAATCCGCGGTCCTATCGTCATATATCAGAATATAGTAGTCCCATCACCATATCGCAAACGGTGCCAGGGCCCTGCCCAGGTGCATGGCCCTGCAGCAACTGTACATCCACGGATATCCACTGACTCCTTACGACTAGAGCTCGCCGCTTTGCCAATTAACCGGGGTTGCAAGTGTATCCGCATGGATCAAATCCCGGACAAGAGAAGCAATGGGGATTTCGGAGTAGCGAGGTGAGACTCTCATCCCTGGACAGCCTTCCTGTTTGGATTGCCAGCTGCACATGCCTGCCACCAGAAGCACAGAATCTCAGCAGCAAGGCATGCATTTTGCGGCATCTCAGGTTGCCGACCTTTGGATTCAAGAGCCTCGGTGCAGGACGCCAGCGCTTCAGCCTTGCCTTTGCCGGCGCGCTTTGGATCTTATTCTATTGATAGTCTAAGAGTTCCTGGTCAGGTTGGCCTCGCCCACCGTCACGCAACGCAGAGAGGCCGCAGTCTGCAACAGCCCGTGTAAAGATGCTGGCAGCTTTCCTGTGGCCTCGAGGCTGTTCTGTGGAGACCGCAGTCTCCTCTTGCTGCGATGCCCACTTTGACATCGCCCAGCTGCTTGCTTCAGTTTGGGGCCTTGCGCCTTTCGTGGGTTTCGAAGTCGGAGCATGGGCCTGGTCCTTCAATCTTTCCGTATAGCACTTGTCCTTATTGCCTTCGGGGCATGTTGTACCGACTCTGGCTTAGGGCGGTCAGTAGACGCACAAGCAGCCTGGAAACAGGAAACATTGTAGATAAGATGAGCGCGAACCAAGCCGCCATGGCAGCAAATACATCACGCCAAGTTCTGCAAACCTTCAAGCACAGATGCAACAAACCGGTACTGCAAACAACTTAGCAGAAGCTGTAAAAGACCGCAAAGAAACAGGGGCAAGGATAAGTTTAAGTAGGGTTGGCAAAGCTTCCGTGCTGCCAATATTAGTCTTGAGCCGCAGTTACAGCCATAGAGAGCATACTGCAGAAGTGCTACAGGATAAGGCCGATAAAATGCAGATCACCTGCGAATGTTCGGCTGGAGATGAACATGTGCTGCCCATTGTGCTGAAGAAGCCAGGCACAAAAGGCACGCTCCAGATTTGTTCTATACCTATACCTAATATATATATATATATATATATATACATAGATGGCATAGAGGTATGTTACATGCGACTGCCCAAAAACCATCTCCAAAGACCCCACAGTCAAGACTGAAAAGCCTGAGCCCGTGTCGGGCAGCGAAACCACGGGGCATGTCCGAGTGGTCAAGCCTCAGCGGAGCAATTCAGTAGTGTTTGGGCTGGGCACACACTCGTGCCTTGTGAAGAGTGAACAGGTGGCACCGAACAATCCATCACTTAGTTCTTTTGTGCTGGGATTAGATACTGCATGGCAGGATACTGGTATTCCACATGCCATGATGCAGTGGGAGATGTATGCAAGCTCATCAAGCCACATATGCCATATGCATATGCACGTACACAGTGTTGGAGTTTGTGCTCAGTGTTTGAGCCACCTTTCGGAAGCCACATCGGTGGCGCAACATGCATAGCAGCTCAGTGGCTGTGCGCCGGGCGAGTCCCACGGAGCACCAAAACAAGGAAACATGCATGAATGAAGCCGAGGTGAAACCGTTTTTCCTCTCCCTGAAGGGAGCGGTTTTCGCTATCTGCCAGGACCGGATCCGCAAATGTAGGGCTGACAGAGCAAGAGCCTGTCTTTCTGATTGCAACGTGACAGAAGCCGTAGTGGCTTTTCGGTTGATCCGCGGGACGAGACGAGGAGCAAACGTATATCGTAGCTAGAAGTGTTGAGCTCTCCTACACCCTGCGTACCGCACTTCAGATACCAGGCAGCCAGCCCTGTCGTCGATGAAGGTTTCTCGGCCTGCTCTAGCTTCGTTGGTCGTAGGTTGAGCCACTGTTCAGTCAGAGCTTCTCGCTTGAACGAGACGAAACCGTGGAGCGGCAGTGCCCAGATAAGAGGGGGACGGTTGAAGACCTCAGAGGTTGCCAAGCTAGCGTGTCGCATTACATGGGATTCTGCGTAGATGCTATGGACTAGTGGTACACGAGTGTGTACTGGTTAAACGTCTCCTTATAAACGTTCGGACCGTACATGTGCAGCGGCATGT